AGACATCCTCATGCAGTCACCTAATGTGTGTATGACTGAGACATCCACATGCAGTCACCTAATGTGTGTATGACTAAGACATCCTCATGCAGTCACCTAATGTGTGTATGACTAAGACATCCTCATGCATTCACCTGTGTGTATGACTAAGACATCCACATGCAGTCACCTAATGTGTGTATGACTGAGACATCCACATGCAGTCACCTGTGTGTGTGTATGACTGAGACATCCACATGCAGTCACCTGTGTGTGTGTATGACTAAGACATCCACATGCAGTCACCTGTGTGTGTATGACAGTTGATGTGGGTGCAGTTTACTAGGTAATCATTGACACAAACAGAAATCATCTTCAATTTATATTATAGCGAGATCTTACGAGATATTCAAGGGAATCCTATGATGTACAGCCACAACATAAATTGCCAGAAGATATCAATAAACCAGTGGCTCCAGCACATGTGTGAGTATCATGATCCTCATGGTGGGTGTAATACATGACAAAGTAGATACATACCCTGAAAATAAAGACTTATAATTTCATCTGTGTGTGTTTGTTCATTTGTCCACGAGTTTACACCATCACTAACATTATTTATTTGTTTTACAGTGTCACTAACAAATCATTCATTTGTTTTTACAGACACTAACATTATTCATTTGTATTCATAGTGTCACTCACATTATTCATTTGTTTTTACAGCTACTAACATTATTCATTTGGTTTTACAGTCACTAATATTATTCATTTGTATTCATAGTGTCACTCACATTATTCATTTGTATTTATGCTGATTGGTCAGTTCAACCATAGTGTAATGTTGATTGGTCAGTTCAACCATAGTGTAATAACATTATTCATTTGGTTCTACAGTCACTAACATTATTCATTTGTATTCATAGTGCCACTCACATTATTCATTTGCATTTACAGTGTCAGCAACATTATTCATTTGTTTTTAGTGTCACTAACATTCATTTGTATTTGTAGTGTCACTCACATTATTCATTTGTATTTGCAGTGTCACTCACATTATTCATTTGTATTTGCAGTGTCACTCACATTATTCATTTGTATTTGCAGTGTCACTATAACATTATTCATTTGTGTTCACAGTGTCACTCACATTATTCATTTGTTTCTTCAGTATCTTGAATAAGGTAACGGACGATCCCCCAGCTGGTAGTAAATCAGCTCCACCAATCAGAATTAAGAGAATATTACGTGAAATATCATCTTATATGAGTACACCACATCAAGCTATCCAGATTTTTCCATGTGAGAATAAGTAAGTATCTTTCATAAGTTCAGTTTGAACTTGTTTTTAGTTTCCAGTCTAACAATATTTCTATGATATAATGTACTGTCGTTTTATTTTTTGTAGCATTGGATTTTGGCGAATACTGCTTCTTGGTCCTGCTGATACACCTTATGAAAATGGTGTGTATTCACTCTATGCAGAGTTTCCCAAGGACTACCCTGCTGTGCCTCCAATAGTCAGATTTATTACTCCTGTATCCTTTCACCAATACTATCATAAATTCTGATTGATCACTATTACCATAGTGTAATGCTGATTGGTCAGTTCAACCATAGTGTAATGCTGATTGGTCAGTTAAACCATAGTGTAATGCTGATTGGTCAGTTAAACCATAGTGTAATGCTGATTGGTCAGTTCAACCATAGTGTAATGCTGATTGGTCAGTTCAACCATAGTGTATTGCTGATTGGTCAGTTCAACTATAGTGTAATGCTGATTGGTCAGTTCAACCCAGTTTATTGCTGATTGGTCAGTTCAACCATAGTGTATTGCTGATTGGTCAGTTCAACCATAGTGTATTGCTGATTGGTCAGTTCAACCATAGTGTAATGCTAATTGGTCAGTTCAACCATAGTGTGATGCTGATTGGTCAGTTCAACCATAGTGTATTGCTGATTGGTCAGTTCAACCATAGTGTATTGCTGATTGGTCAGTTCAACCATAGTGTATTGCTGATTGGTCAGTTCAACCATAGTGTATTGCTGATTGGTCAGTTCAACCATAGTGTAATGCTGATTTGTCAATTTAACCATAATGTAATGCTGATTGGTCAGTTTAACCATAATGTAATGCTGATTGGTCAGTTCAACCATAGTGTAATGCTGATTGGTCAGTTCAACCATAGTGTAATGCTGATTGGTCAGTTCAACCATAGTGTAATGCTAATTGGTCAGTTCAACCATAGTGTATTGCTGATTGGTCAGTTCAACCACAGTTTAATGCTGATTGGTCATTTCAACCATAGTGTAATGCTGATTGATCAGTTCAACCATAGTGTAATGCTGATTGGTCAGTTCAAGCATTGTGTAATGCTGATTGGTCAGTTCAACCATAGTGTATTGCTGATTGATCAGTTCAACCATAATGTAATGCTGATTGGTCAGTTCAAGCATTGTGTAATGCTGATTGGTCAGTTCAACCATAGTGTATTGCTGATTGATCAGTTCAACCATAATGTAATGCTGATTGGTCAGTTCAAGCATTGTGTAATGCTGATTGGTCATTTCAACCATAGTGTAATGCTGATTGATCAGTTCAACCATAATGTAATGCTGATTGGTCAGTTCAAGCATTGTGTAATGCTGATTGGTCAGTTCAACCATTGTGTAATGCTGATTGGTCAGTTCAACCATAATGTAATGCTGATTGGTCAGTTCAACCATTGTGTAATGCTGATTGGTCAGTTCAACCATAGTGTAATGCTGATTGGTCAGTTCAACCATTGTGTAATGCTGATTGGTCAGTTCAACCATAATGTAATGCTGATTGGTCAGTTCAACCATTGTGTAATGCTGATTGGTCAGTTCAACCATAATGTAATGCTGATTGGTCAGTTCAACCACAGTTTAATGCTGATTGGTCAGTTCAACCATTGTGTAATGCTGATTGGTCAGTTCAACCATAGTGTATTGCTGATTGGTCAGTTCAACCATAGTGTATTGCTGATTGGTCAGTTCAACTATAGTGTAATGCTGATTGGTCAGTTCAACCACAGTTTAATGCTGATTGGTCATTTCAACCATAGTGTAATGCTGATTGGTCAGTTCAACCATAGTGTAATGCTGATTGGTCAGTTCAACCATAGTGTAATGCTAATTGGTCAGTTCAACCATAGTGTGATGCTGATTGGTCAGTTCAACCATAGTGTATTGCTGATTGGTTAGAGTGGACAGTTGTGTAATGTGAACATGTTGAAATGCCCGGCTTTGATTGTTTGACAAAAGCATGATACAACAAATCAATAGCATGATAACACTCTTATATACTTTGTGTTTCTGATCCAACTGATGAGTTGGTTTATTGCTGAAACTATTTTCTTGACTCAATACATTGTGGTAGATATACCATTGCAATGTGAATGCTTCTGGTCGGATATGTCATAGTGTATTTGATAGAGAGTACACATCAGATACACCAATCACAACTATTCTAACATGTGTCTTTGGTTTACTCATCACACCTGAACCAGATGATCCATTAGACAGGTATGTGTGAAAACAAATTATTTTCTCCATAGGCCGGTGCAAAGTGTTTCCATACTTGTTAACCAGCTCATGATCTATTCTGATATAACCAGTACATTGCTTTTATTAACTTGTACTTGTATATTAAAGTTGCTGAGAACATTCATAAAGATGTATTCAGGTTTGGGGACTATTAGGTAGATTATTTGATGGTGTGCAAAATATATAAATTATAGTTTTTAGCACATCTGGATGCTAGTGTTTATCTTAGACTGCCACTTGATTTTGAATTTCCTTTGCTAACATTTCACTTAATTCATGTAATTCATAACAAGGCAGAATTTAGGTGATTCCTTGTTTTTTTCCCACAATGCCCAGAAATTCAGACCATCAAATATTATAGTCCCAGTAATCCAATTAAACTTTAGGAATGTTCTCGGAGTATAACTATAATATACATGTACAAGTGCCAATTAATAAGAGCAGTTATTGATATCATTCTTTTACCTTCTGCATGCAAACAACTGATTATACAAATACAAAGGACATAAACAAGTATGGCAGACTTATAATCAGTACTGTAAATGCATTAATTATTCACTGGGTTTTATTTTTGTTGATAAGTAAAATGATAATAAAAATAATTGTTTCCTTGACAAATTCGTGGAATTAAAACATAAAATAGTGAAATTAAATGTCAGTGAAAATAAATAGTTTTACAGTAGTAGATTACATAATGAATATGTGTGTCTGTGTCGACATTTGTCAGATTGAATCCAGAATAAATACATTGCAATAAGGTAAATAAATTAAGACTTAGTCCTTTGAATCTAATCCAATCTTTAATATTACATTTTGTAGCACATTGGCTGAGGAATATTTTGCAGACAAAGTATTGTATGACCAAAAAGCTGGAGCTCACAGCAGATTACATGCAAGTAAAACTATAGCTGAACACCAACAGGTATTACATAATGCTTATATATCTCTGTAGCTCCATAAGTCAGTCTTAACTTAAGGTAGCGAGATAGTTTTTTGGCATGGAAAATGTAAACATCTATAATCGGAGTAAATTTTACAAGAACCTATACAATCTATATATGTTTGGAAAGCCCTTGACTTGTACTTTTCTATTATTAATATTTTGTGAACACTGTGTTTGTTTTAGCGTCACGTGATTCTGAAAATCGGCGCGGCTGATAATTAACTAACGTGAATACATTTTTAAATGTCAGCTG